CCTCCTCTTCTGTATATATATATATACACATATACACAGAACTTAAAGAATGTAGATTTTAAGGCTTCTGCAGCCCTTAACCCTAAACCGCGTTTGCAGAGGGTTTTGGGTTCCGGGCGGTACTTCCTGAACTTCCAAGGTGGAACACATGGTGTTTATTATGCGAATGAAAGCAGTGGATCGTAACCCTAGGTAATAAATCCGTTTGACGTTTCGGGTTAAGGGTTCCGGGTCTTTGGCTGACTATCTCCTGCAGAGAATTAAACATTCAAGATCCCGTAAAGGAACCGTCTGGAAAGCACACGAGCTCCCTAAACCCTAAACCCTAAACCCAAACCGTCCAGGCCAGGTTGCATCGGTAGGCGGATATACGCCCGGCGGTTCTGCAGGTAGCCATTTCCATCAAGGGCCTGTGGCTGCCAGGCACATTAGGGCACTAGGGTTCGCAGTCCACAGTTTCAGGGTGATAATTCTAAATACGCACATTTTAATCTATAGCTTTAGTTTCAGAGACGTAGGCATGTACATGTCAACATGTGAACTGCTTTTGGGGTTCCCACCAGAATCAGAAGAAAAATCTGTCATTGCATCACTGGTGTTTTAGGTTTTGAGAGACCCCACCTGGGGTTTTCTAGAAAAGTTCTTGGGGTGCAAGCTGCGGGGGACGGGCTTGGTATGGTAGCAGACGAAATCATACTGGCGCTGGCCAGCTGGATGACCAACTAAGATGATACTGAGCACTACTACTCCTGCTCCTGCCTCACTACTAGTACTAAGACTACCACCACCTGCTGCTGCTGCTGCTGCTGCTACTACTACTACTACTACTACTACTACTACGAATTTCCTTTAAAGCAATAATGCACCGAACACAAAAACGAGGAACCTGGTACTCCAGCACGCAGCTGTCGTTTTGACGGGAAATTTCCACCACGCTGGCTTGTACAACTTGGCCACCACAGCGCTGATGTCCTGAGTGGACGGTTGCGCCACCTAAACTCCAAAGCCCCAACACAACTGTTAATCCAATGATCCTAGAACTCATGTTTAGAGTTTAGGGCTAGCCGAAGTGAGAAAACCGAAAACGCGAAACAAAGCCACAACCCGTGCTAGGTCTAAGCTCAGGGCTGAGAGTCTAGGGTTTAGGGTCTAGGGATCAGGGTTCAGAGTCTAGGGTTTAGGGTCTAGTCATGACTGGGCGTTCGGCGCCCGCATCCTGAGCCTGGCACGGCGAAGACTTCCAGTCCCGCATGGTCTAACCCAGAGAACCCAATACACCTTAATTGAGGAATCTACCTTGAATTATAGCAGCGGCCTTGATATTATGAGTGAAGGTATATTCCTTGATTAAGGGGTATTGGGTTCTTTGGGAAGTGCGCAGTTAATGTTGGTTTGGGACCCTGTGGGAGACCCATGGAAATCCAATCAGACCCCCGAAACCCGTTGTTTAGATACTTCGACATCGACCCTCTTGGAATGAAACATGTGAAGCACTAGTATTGAAACCTACCACCCTAAACCCAAAACCCTACGCGGGAATCACTAGTATTGAAACCTACCACCCTAAACGCCACGCTCGAAAACTCTAGCGCTTCTAGAACCCTGCGCAGAGCTCTGAACCCTAGACCCTGAACCCGAACCTAAACCCTACCCTTTTCAGAAACCCTCGTACCCGTTTTAAAATTAGAGAACCCAAAAAAATCTATAGTAAGCCCAATTACAGAACCTTATAACCTTGGAAGGAGCCCGCTAAGGAGCCCAAAGAGAAGCTACTTGCAAGGAGCTATTGAATTGTACTGCGATAGCTATACCCCAAAGGTCCAAAGTACCTATATGATAGTATGTAGGGTTTCTTTATTCGGAATTACGATTATGGTTTGGGGAAGTATCCCCCATAACCGTAGCTAGGACCCTTTGACTTTGAATTGTACTGCAAGAGCTAGAGTAGCCTGAACCTTAAACCACTCTAAAACCCCGATCCCTAGACCCTAAACCCTAGACTCTGCGCCCTGATCCCTAGACCCTAAGCCCTAGACTCTAAACCCTGATCCCTAGACCCTAAGCCCTAGACTCTAAACCCTGATCCCTAGACCCTAAACCCTGATCCCTAGACTCTAAACTCTACACCCCCCCACGGCTGGTGAAAGCAAGGAGCTAACTTGGCTTCCCTCATGCAGCAGGGAGATCCACCGCTGCCTCTTGGCGGCCAGATCCACGAGATCCTTCTCAGAGTTCAGGGCTCACCCTAAACCCTAAACCCTAAACCCTAAAACCTCAAAGTCTTTAGGGTTTAGGGTTCAGGGTTCAGGGTCTAACTTTGAGTTCAGGGGGTAGGTCTAAGTCGAACTTTTAAAGGAAACTACAGGTGGGGAGTTTAGGGTATATCGGGCTTCTCTAAGGCTTCTACAAGGTATATAGACCTTCTATAAGGCTCCTTTACCCACCTGCGAATGTCCTAGAAACTTAAAGTTCAGGGGTTCGGTCCCCTAAACCCTAAGCCCTGAACCCTAAACCCTAGGTTGTGGGGCAAAAGATTTAGGTATTAAGAATTTAAGATCTTTTGAGGATGAGGGTTAGGGTTAGGGGGGCCTGGGCAGTCGGGGAAGTTCTGCATGGAGGATCTGACGATTATCTTATGAAGGATAGTTACAGTACCAATTTCTAGCGCTTTATGCGTTTATAAGGTCACACAAGGGTTTTGATGGGGGCGGTTCTCAAAATTCGGGGGATACCTAGTTTGGGATCCCTTAAACTCAGGATCCCGAAAGGGGGCTGGGATCTATGTTAGGGTTTTATTTAGAGTTTAAGGTTTAAGGTTTGGGGTTTAGGGTTTAGGGTTCAGGGTGTAGGCTTAGCGGTTTAGTGGTTAGGGTTGAGGCTTATAGGGTTTAACGTTTAGGGCTTAGGGGTCCCGTATCTCTGAAAACCCAACCTGGCTTTGAGGTTCAGTGCTTGGGGTTTGAAACCACTGTGTTCACGGTGTATGGTCTGTGGGGCTCGGGGCTTAGTGCCTGGGGCTTGGGGTTATTAGACTTTTTTGAAGGGGGGGCAGGGTTTAGGGTTTAAGGTTTGGGGAATGTTCGAGTTGGGGTTGACAGCTTAGGGTGTAGGCGATGTCTCGTGACAACTGGCTTCCGTGGTTCAATGGGTCTAGACACATTGCATTGTTCGCGTCACTGGTCATCGGACTCTCACCGCAGCGCCCTCAATCTCGAACTCCAGCACAGCTAATGTTCCATCCCTATGCACAGACTAACTGCGAGGACTGATGGTCAGCCCGTAGAGGGCTTGCGCAGATCTTGTGACGCTGGAGCATGGCCGCGGTCATGACGACAATTTGCACCCCATTGGACAACAGAGGTGCCGAGAGGAATGCCTGTTTGACATCGATGACCCCCAAGTCAAGCTTGCGAAGGCCTGCAAACCGAAGGAGGGTCCTCAAAGTGACCGCGTCGATCCCTCCTGCGTGCGTGTCGACTCGGTACCAGCGGTCGCTGCAAGCGAAATTCCCACGGCAGACACTTACATTGCAATTCACAGCATCTGCGGCGTATACTATGCATACAGCAACGCTGTAATCCCGGACATGTACAGCATGTATATGTATGCATCTGACTGTACGCGTACATAAAGAACAGGTATGCCATAAGCATAAGGGCCATAAGTCCATAAGTTTACATACGTACCAGTACCGAGGTACACACAAGAACAAAATTGCGTTCTTATGCCTCAGATCTGCGCGTGCTCTAGCTTTCACATAGAACCCGACCAGCTCCCCACGTCTGTTTGTTCTGGGGTCATGCCCTACCCAAAGGGTCCAAAGTACCCATATAGTGGAATGTAGGTTTCTATATTGAGAGTTGCTACTATGATTTGGGAAAGTATCCTCCGTCACAGTACCCTAGACCCTAGACCCTCAACCCTTACTAAACCCCAAACCCTACTTGGAGGATCAGGGGACTTAGTAACTAGGGTTATAAATAGGCGAAGTATACTTAGAAGCAATTACAACCCCAATGAAGGTAGTTATAACCCTACTTACTAAGTCCCATGATCCTCCAAGTAGACCCTAAACCCTAAACCCTCAAACCCTAAACCCTAAACCCTAAACCCTAAACCCTAAACCCCTAAACCCTAAATCGTGGGGAGGCCTCAGGGGATTCGGGGCCCAGCCACCCTCAACGGAACCGGCAAAGGAATCCCTAAAGTGAGGTTTAGGGTTTAGGGTTTAGGGTTTAGGGTTTAGGGTTTGGGGTTTAGGGTTTAGGGTTTAGGGTTTGGGGTTTCGGCTACCCCCCCCCCATAAGCCCTAAAACCCTTAAAACCCCTAAAAAGGGCCACAAGCGCCATGTAGCAAACCCCAAACCCCTAAACCCTAAACCCCGAAGCACCTCGCAGTCGCTGGAAAGCTCAGACCTGCCGAAGCACAATCAGCTTGGTTTAGGGTTTGCGGGGTTCAGGGTTTAGGGTGTAGGGTTTAGGGTTTGGGGTTTGGGGATTTAGGGATTTGAGGGTTTATGGGTTTAGGGTTTCAGGGTTTAGGGTTTCAGGGTTTAGGGGTTTAGGTTGCGTGGGCTTTTGGTATATCTAGTCTGATAGGGTTTACATTGCTTTTACAGGGTCCGACAACGAGTCAAGGCTTAAACGGGTTCGGATTTAGGAAATAAGGGTCGAGGGAAATTGTAGGGGTCTATGGCATAGGGTCTAGGATGTAGGCATAGACTGTGGGGCATAACAGTTTTGAGGGGGCAGTTCCAGGGAGTAGGATCTGAAAAAGTCAGGCAGAAACCCTCAGCGATGTCATTCATCGAGATACCCCTAAGGGTCCATAGTAGATACTTTGGCCATGAAGTAGCCACTAGGCCCTACATACCCAGGGACTTTAGGGCCAATGTAAAAAAACAAAACTATATGGGCCCATGGACCCTAAACCCTAAACCACACATGGGTAGTTCTCTAAATTAGGGTCCCTTTTGGTGTCCTTTTTATAAGGGTGCCGTACTATGATGGGGATCTAAAAAGGGACCCTAATTTAGAGAACTACCTACATGGACCAAAGGGGATACTTGCAAGCCCATGTACAGAGCTCTGAGCACAAGTGCCACAGAATTCTCGCTCGAGTGCATCGAGCGTCTCCTGAAGCTTCACAGTTCCCAAACCTAGGGTAGGGTTTAGGTTTTTTTTTTAAAAAAAAATGCAGTAGCTCTTTCTCCCGCATGAGGTCCAAAGCTTGCTCCATAGGAGCATGCACGAACAAGTAGCAAGGCTCACAGCAGCCAAACTACAGAAAGGGTATACCCCCACTCAGCGCAAGACAGGACACTCAGACTCACTGCTGGTACTCTGTTGTGCGTCGCTTTTCCTGCTCACTGCTGGTACTCTGTCGCGAGTCATCAGTTTTCTTCACAACTCATCATGGCGAACTTCTCCCCTGCGATCGTCTCTACTGCGACTCCGTTCTCTGTGTGGTTCCCTCCCGGCGGAAGAATTGCCCGCTGCCTCTCCTCGACGTCGTGCACTCTGGTCGACGTTGTCCACGTACTCAACGGCACTGTCCTGGTCGACTAGGGGGAGCCTGCGGACGGGGCCAATACCATAGGTAGGAACTGGCCGAGCTCTGTGTAGCCTTCGCCTTGCAGCTACCCCTCGTATTTGCCGATGAAGTAGAGGATCCTCCGGCAATGGTACATTGGGCGGGAGGTTCGGGATCGCCGTTTCCTCATCAGTCTGGACGAAGTAGAGATCTCTGTCATCTTCGGCAGGCCAACATCCTCTTGGGCACCGCCTGCCCGCCGCAAGGTAAAGCAGCTCGACATGCACCCTCCACCCTCTGCGACGGTAGCCAGCCACCACGTGTTCTTCAACTCCAGGAAAGGCATTCTGCAGGCCGGCCAGCGAGGAGGGAAGGTCCGGCTGGACCAAGACCGCCTGTGGTGCGCTGAGACCCGTGCCTGCAGAGGACGAAGCAGCCGAGCCCTGTGCAGCTTCTCTGCTGATGACCTCCCAGAGTCGGACCTCCATTGTCGCAGCATTGAAGGGGCGGGCCATGGTGCCTCTGGCAACCCAACAAAGAGCTTCCTCAAGTGCAGCACCTACAAGACGAAGACAATGCTGAAGCCGACGTTGTCTGTCAAGAAAACGCCTTAGAACATCAACCACATCTGCAGAGCCGGCATGTTGAAGCTCAAGATTGATGGCGTCCCTGACCACATCCTCTCCAGGCCTTCGGGTGGGCAAGGTAGTGGAAGTAGACGTGGTGGAGGAGGAAGTAGAAAGCAATTCCCAACATAAATCACCCACCAGTCCAGCGGAGTTCAACGATGTCCCCAGGTCGGCCATGCAGGTAGGCTGAGTCATCCCTTGTGTTTGCCATTCCCCTCCCACAGTGCTGGTAGACGAGGTAGTCCACGAGGTCACCCCATAGATCACGGTCTGCAATCCAACAAACTCGTCCTCATGTGAGTGCAAAGAAGACCAGGCGCTCCAAGAAGACGAAGAGCATGTTGTTGTAGTAGTGGGCCACAACAAAGTGGGCGAAGACCACGTAGGGGAGGGAAGGCTCGTTGTCAGCATCGTCGAGGAAGTGCAAGACGTGGGGCCACTCCCACATGTCCAGATAGGTCCCGAGGTGGAAGTGGCGACTGTGCTCCCGGTCGAGGCAGCTGCAGAGGCGGATGAGGGTCGACCAAACACACTGCCGTCAGCAGAGAGGTTCTCAAGTGGCGGGTCTCTCCAGATACCAGGCAAAAGTGCGGGGTCCACCCCAGTTGCGAGTGTCTGGTCGACTTCTGTGTCGGTGACCTCGACAGATTCTTCTGCATCCTCCCCATTGGTGTCAGTGGATTGTGGTGAGGCAGTGGCCGAGTGCGTAGGTCGGACTGAACCTACGGGGCTGCGGCTGCGGTCACGAGTTTGTTCGCCTGACGAGGAAGGGAGCTCAAACGGTGCAGCCGTGTGAAAGCCTAGTGTCACCCCCTCAGATGGGTCAACTTCCTGTGGCTGCAGTGGGGCGCCAAGGTTCACTTCAAGCTGGTGGGTGAAGATCGAGCTGAATTGGCGTGCCCAGTTTAGCCATCTTATCCTTGCCAGCTCTTCTCCAGGGATGCGTTGCAGTGGAAGGTATCCGCGTGGAACAAGACGACGTAGGAGGATGTCCAGGACGACTTGTAGGGTTTGCACCCCATCCTCAAGGCGAGTTGACAGGCGTGCAAGAGCCCATCTAGCCTCCGGCCCAGTGCCATCGATCTGGTGGTCGTCTATCTGGTGCAGCAACTCTTCCACCCTGTTGACATTCTCCTGGGTGAGCCCGTTCTCTTGTAGTGTGGCTCTCTCACTGTTGGTGAGCTGCATGAGCCAGGTAACTTCTTCGTCAAGGGTCCTGACATTGGGGAAGAGGCCAAAGCCGGGCACCGCGAGCACCGGGACATCACCCTCATCCGGAGCACCAGTTGTGGTAGTCGACGAGGAGGAGGAGGAGGGAGCCCACCATGAACACGAAGAGGTCGGTGTTGTCTCCTTCTCCTCCCATTGCCAATGGTCATCAGTGCATTGCCAGCCATCCCACGTAGCCGAGGACCACCACGTCGACCACTGCAAGTCAGACCAGGAAGCAGGCCAATTCCATGTGGTTGCTTCATTCCATTCAGAGGGGGTGGTCCAGTTCACCCAACCGGTAGAAGCGGTTCCCGAGGAATTCACCCCAGCAACTTCTCCCAGTGTCGAAGATGGTGGCTCCTGAGTGGGCACCCCACTGAAAGGTGGTTCTCCTTGCATCTCAGCAGATTCTTGGGCGGCTCCTTCACGTTGACGGCGATCGCTGGCATATTGAACTAACCAGGCGGGTTTCCAACGTCCATCGAAGTAGGCCTGCATCCGCTCTTTTTTCCGACGGGTACGGATTTCACCTCCTCCCCCACGATGAGCACGAAGTTCTTGCTCGGTGCGAGGACGGTTTTGCCAGACACCGGCGCGCCAGAACCCAACAGCCTGGTTCGTGCCGCCATCAGAAGAAGACATTCCAGATTCCGTGTCCGCAAGGTCACCCTCCTCACCGGCAGTTGTGCTCTGTTCTCCTTCAGGTTGCGGACCAGACCGTACAGTGAACTCTTTGCCCGTCCAATTCACCCC